TAACTCGCAGCTATTTCGTCAAAGTTTAAGCTAAAAATGTGGTTTCGTCCCCTTTTTCTCATAAAAATACAAAAAAAATTGCACAAAATGTCGCATAATTACTCGCATGAAGTCCATACGCCAGCAATATGTACGCTAATAATTGGAATTGTGCACACAAAATTGAATTTGCGTAATAATTTGCACGTTTCATGATTGCATGAGCATAAAAGTGCTGAAGAAAACTGACCTGATACCGAGCACCCTAAATAACACAGCGCGTAGCACAGTGGACCTGGCCCGCTCGCTCGATACCGGGCTGACGTCACGCCCAGCGGCCCAGGTTCGACCCCCGGTGGCGGCCACCTTTTTTGCTTTTTTTTCACTTTTTTCACTTCTGGATTAAAAAATTCTTTTAGTTTTGTGCGACTCATGTTGCGTGTGGCATATAATATTAAGTCAAACCGTTAAGTCAAACAGGCTTACTACAGTTAGATTTATGGTTGTAATACAAATTGAGCTTATTGAAGTTCTCTGTATATCCTATGCCTATTTATTACCGTAACTAAATCCTGCTAATTACTATTACCTGAATTTTAGAACCTTATTAAAAATTACTTTCCTATGTTAAAAAATTTTATATACTGAAAAATACCACTTAAAACATTTTCTTAGCTGTAGAGGTTCAACGGATAAGGAAAATAAGTTGGCACGGTTTCCCATTCTGGACATCCATTGTACTACCAAGAAGCGAAAATATTATCAGGTCATGCAGTGAGTTAATTGCGACTAAATACTTACACTTGGAAGAAGAACATGTTCTTCCGGAATTTATTCCCACGTAAAGAAACCATAGCAATGAAAGATTTATATATGGGTCTAGCTTTGTTGATCGGAGAGTATGAATATTTTTATCCTGGATTCTGCCGTCTGCCTGGCGAGAAAGCAGCCGAGACAACTTTGTCCAAAAAAAGTATTGTCTGTACTGCATAAACATGAAATTATAATTTATAATAGAAGTGACCCTGCCGTTACCACGCTGCCGTTACCATTATTAATCTACATAATTAATAATTAGTATGGTGGTGGAATATTAACCCAAAGTATAGTTTTGTACAGTTGACATACAGATATGTATTATCACATATAAATGATGAGCTACACTCTTTGAAATAATTTTACTTTTTCAAAAGTAAGCATACTTTTTACCCCAAAGTAAAGTTTACTAAATCCAGACTAACGCTTGATACGGAGTAAACCTTACCTCATATAGAGTAAAAAGTGCACTTACAATGGAGGTCTCCCAACGTATGCTCACAGATTTGGAGCAAACTAGTGTCAATCGATCATGGAGATATTAACATAAAAAGCCGGAAAAATGCGCAGCAAATTTGGAAAATTAGAAATTTGCCAGCCTTGGGGGTGCGTTTTCTTCTCTTTTTATGCAAATATGTATCTCCGCCAAACCGGCACATTGGCAGATAGATTCATTTTCAAATTCATCCTAATTATATTTGTGATCGATTGACGCTAGTTTGCTCCAAATCTGTAAGTATACGTTGGGAGACCCCCATTGTTAGTTTTCAAAAAAGTAAGATTGTTTCTAAAAGAGACATCCCCTTATAAGGAGATTGGTCCCCTTATAAGGAGGCGAATTTTTTCAAACCTTTATAAAATCTGAACCCTTACGAACTTCTAACTACGTATACTATTTACGTGGGTGGAGAGTTCAGATATCCAACTATATCCAAATATTGCACATTATACCGGTTTGGAACAATATGCAAAAATTTCCGTGTCAAAATCTCAAAAAAATGTCAAAATATCCAAAAAATGACATTTTGACATTTTTTCACATGTTTGACATTTTGACCCTTTCGTGGATTTTGAACATTTCGACCCTTTTGTGGATTTTGGACATTTTAGACGGTGATTGGAACCAAGGTGAAGCAATGCCTCTGCCAGAGGTGAAGAGAGAGTGGAATCTATAAAGGGCAGATGCAAAAAAATCCCCGTTCATTAAGGCATTGAGAAAACTCCCAGACTTGCGTCACTAAAATCGTCATTACTTTTTCAAAAGTTATTTCAACACGAAAATTTTTGCATATTGTTCCAAACCGATATAGTGTGCAATATTTCTATGGATGACAATTATGTAATATTCAACTAATGAGTGATATAAATATGATTGAATTTTATTTAATTAAATATTTTCGACTTATACAAAAAGCATGGGTTTTGTGGAATAGGAGACAAAAATTTAACAGTTCTATCCTATCCACATTTTCACTTCAAAATATAGTATTTAGCTCACGAAAATTCCTCTTTGAAGAAAAGGTAGGCATACAAAGAAGGAAAAAATATGCACTCGTGTAAACAAAAAACCTTACCCTAAAATAGGTTTAATATTTGTCAACCTTTTTGCCATTTTTATTTCATTGTAGTCCATACATTGTACATTGTACATTGTAGTCCATACATTGTAGTCCGAAATAAGGGACCTGAATCAACAAAGGACATTTCTTTGTCGTGAGGAATCTCAGGTTGGAATGCGTCCTTTATTTAAGGCACTGAGGTGCCCTTCACCTTTCGTCTACTGATCCGCCCACAAACAGTTGCATTGGACATGTTACATATTTATACCGTTATTTATACCGTTATTTATACTGACATGTTATTTATGTAAATACCTGCCTTTCCAAGTATAAAAGCGGTATAAACTGTGACGTCTTTACTATTTGCTCCTTACCAGAGTTTATGCATTGAACAAAATCGACTTTTTAACTGATACATACAATATCCACAATATTTCTTAAAATTGTGGTTACATTAAAGGTATATAGAATTTTCACTTATAATTTAATGCCACAAAATGACGGATATTTTGTGCTCGATTTTTTTACAAAACATGCTACTACCAAATCAGTACAAAGTAAACCAATCGTTTACAGTTAAAAATGCATTGTTTAATATTGGGTTTCTACGTATGCAGACATTAACACAGGAGCAGATTGAGAGCTAACATAGCAAAGGATTGATGAAAACTCGTTATTGTTTATTGGCTTCTAAATAATACGGGGGTGATCCCAGAACCCACAAAGTATATATATTCTAAATTTTCTCGCCAGGATCTTTTCAACGATACCCAACTTATGTGGTTATGTGGGACTTTGGCTATTGACGTTTACCGTTAGTGGGCAAAATTTTCTGACCTTCGAAAAAAAATTATAATTTGTCATTTTTAATATATATATATGTATGTATTTACTACCCTGTACCCGGCCGGGTAGCCTGGTACCCGGCCGGGTAGCCTGGTACCCGGCCCTAATTTTAGGCCCAGTACTACCGCTACCCGGGCAACCCTAATTTTTGTGTAAAATAACAAAAAATCACACGTAAAACGACTGGACTTATGGCATTTCGGAAGTAAGCAACGAGTGCACTTATGTTGTTTCAAAATTAGTACGACGACATGTATATAGAATGGCAATTTGAAGTTTGACACTGCGTAATCAATTCAATTATACCTAGCAATTTTTGAGGATTTCTTCGTCCTTCTTCTCATTAATGTTTTTTAGGCGTACACATTCTTTTTCATAAATCCGTGTATTAACAAGGTCAAAATGTATGCACCCAATCGCGAAGAATTCGTGACAATCATGCATGGATTTTGCCTGGAAAAATGTTAATTATATGCACACCTAATTGACAACGTTGAATAATCAGACGATACATAGATACATATCGTCGGACTAATTCTAAAACCGCGTAAGTGCCTTCGCTGGTTAATTTTAAAACCACGTAAGTGCACAAGAAAAATGGGGAAAAAGACGTTACGTCTTACGTCTTTAAATAGTTTTAAGTACCCTAGGTCACTAGTTTTAGGAAATATAAATATAGCATTAGCTCTCCCACATATTTAATAATATAAGCATTTCTGTAAAATCAATATTTTTCAGTCGGTATTGATATAAATAAATATATTTATAAACTTCCTTAAAAGTGAACATAATCTACAAAGTTTATTGCATAAAAGTCACAAAATAAAGGGACATCTACGAAAGTAGGTGTGTAAAGGGACACGCAACCCCAGAAAAGGACAGGGGGCGTTACAATGCATACGTGGATGTAAATTTTTGCTTTTTAGTTTTAACCGGTGTGAAGGAATCCGGCTTTTGTTCAGGCCTGCAAAATGTAGGCCTCTGTCTGTGTCCAGGAAATAAGTACCTGTTTATTTGTACGTATTCCAATGGCTTAGAGCTCAGGCAGGTATCGAACAGTACAATCACGCTCATAATGGAGGTCTCCCAACGTCTGCTCACAGATCTTGGCACCAAACTAGCGTCAATATACTACAAATATGATTAGGATGAAATTTGCAAATGGAACTACATATCTCCCAATGCTGAAGTTTAGCGGAGGGATTTGTAAAAAGAGGGGAAATCTCTAAGGCTACCAAATTTTTCAATTTCCAAATTTTCTGCGCATTTTTCCCGCTTTGGTTTCCACCAATATCTCCGCCAAACTTGCGCACTAGTTCCATTTGGAAATTTCATACTAATTATATTTGCGATCGATTGACGCTAGTTTAGTCCAAATCTGTATGCATACGTTGGGAGACAGAATCGATCTTCGTGATCCTACATTTATTTAAACAAGTTGAGTGAAGGATCATATTAGCATACTTGCATAGATGCCGAGAATGAAGGAAAAAAGCACGGACCCTTAAAATTTAACATTGACCTGAGTGACCCCATACTATGTGTTTCACACATCCTTCCATGCCGTAGATGGGGAAAAATAGAAAAAGAATACCTGAACTATTGTATTATTACCCTTAAACTGCTTATATGCTTATATGCATATATTAAAGGTTAAACCTGTCAACCCTTCCAACCCTTCCAAGGGTTAAAATTAAAAATATTCCATTTGGGTACCGTTACCTGGAAATACAAACGATGGCCACTCATCGACTCGTATATATATCTTGTCATGGACGATCAAACGTATTTCATCTGCAATACAAGCATCGAGTCACACCCATACAATTATTATTACAGATTCGAACAGCTGCGATGTCGTTGTTAAAACTTAAATTTGCAATATTAGCATTTATTCCAGCATTCCTGACATTTCAGTACTGTCACTCGCTGAAGCATTTTGTGGGGAGGTGCCCATCTCCAATGCCTGTGCAAAACTTAAACAGGACGGAGGTAACCCAATAAATACTAAAATATAAATAAATATATACAATTCAATGCTATAGGTATACATTCACATAATATTCTAATATTCACAGTTTTCCGGAATTTGGTATGCCATCCAGACGTACCCGGCCGACAACTATTATCCAAATTTCACTTGCAGTCTAGTCGACTATAAGTTGCCTAGCCTGGACGGGACATGGATCAGGGAGACCCGTCACACCGATAAGTTGGACAAAACATTTATCAGTCAATTATGAATTGTGTAGCTTACAAGGGAACCTTAAGTACTATCACTCCTCGATTTCCTTCGGAATAGCCTTAATCGACAGATTTAGTGAAACTAAAACTCTGTCATAAAACATTCGGTGCAAAATCGCGTTTTCGCAAGATATTTGGCGAGAACTACATCAAAACGTGGAATTTTTGCAATGCTTTCTTTCAATTCCTTCAGAATAACAAATTTACAGAATAGCAACATACCAATAAGTCCGTAATTAATGCATCTTTATTGCAAAATTACGAAAAACTTCAAAAACTTCAGAAAATTATAAAATTACGAAACTTTTGAAAAATTTTCGAAAAATATGCAAATTTCGAAAATTTTGCACACTTTGGATAATTTTGCAAAATTTCGAAAATTTTGAAAAATTTTCCAAATTTTGAAAAATTTTCCAAATTTTGAATACTCACAAATAAAATATTCAAAGTTTTCCAAATTTAAGGAAATTTGTATACTTTTCGAAAATTTTGCAAAATTTTCGTAATTTTACAATAAAGATGCATTAATTACGGACTTATTGGTGTATAATTTTGCTATTCTGAAGGAGTGTGAAGGAATTTGTTATCCCATAAAGAAAGCATTGCAAAATTCCACGTTTTGATGCAGTTTCTCGCCAAATATCATACAGTACAGTGACAGTACATAAGGTTCCTTGTTAGCCATAATTTTTTTGTAACATCCACCCATTCGAGGTTCGCTTATGTACGTCTACTGCATAATATGTGGCAGGGAACAAAATGGTTCCAGTACGCAAATTATGGTTTACGTAATTACACAATTTGTAGTTGTTGTCATAACCTGTTTAATATTGGAGATCTTTAATAAATTGGGAAAATGCCTTGTTAAACATAGATCCGGACGACTACCTTCAAATTCCGCCGAAGTGTCGTTTCTAAGCCGTGACGGCAGCGCGTATTTAAATGTCGATAGCTGGTATAATTTCACAAGAGCTCAAAAAGAACGAATAGCGCAATATGGGCAGTCAGCGGAGATGGTTGGACTCGCGAAAACAACAGGTAATAAATTCTTGTTAAATATATATTGGACGATTCCCTGCTTGTAATTCCATGTAATTAAAAGCGGATTTCTTCATGTTTCTAGAAACTAAGTACTCCGTTTATGTATTGGCAACAGATTACTCGAATTATGCAGTTTTCTGGACATGTGATCAAAGTTGGGGTTCCAATTACCGTGAAAGTTGCACTGCTACATATTCTAGTGATATTAAGCTGCCGAATCTTATTTACATATTTTCTCTATATTACAGAGAACCTGTTGATTACGTCACGGAATTTGTCCATTGGGAATGAAGCCATGGAGACGATTAAAACAACTCTGAATCTCCAGGGCATTACGACGACCCCCTTAATTAAAGTTGATACGAGTGGATGCAAAAGCATGTAATATTTTGTGGTATGAATTTGATAATTCTATTTCATGAAATAAATACAATCCTGTTACCACACACATCCAACAGTGTTCATTCTGTCATTCGAATCGGGTCTGATAGCCCTCGAGTGATATAACTATAGTAATTTATTACCACGTAGTAGTAAATTTATTCTGGTGTTCATCCCAAACACTTCAATGGAGTGTCGAACACAATTGAGCATCCACTTAATTTTGCTGCGGTGAAACTTGCATAGCATCAAAACTATTCACCCCATCTCAATTTTTGTTGTTGTTGTTAAGCCTTTATTCAAGTGTCAACAGAGATCAATTCATTACAAATTGGTTTACAAACCATGACACAAATCGCATATATGCAGTAATAAAGCATTTATCTAACCTAAATAGTAACTAATATCTATTCATGACTTAAGAAGTCACGACATAATTTAAAAAATTTTAGGTAAGTAATATTAAAATCCCAGGATCGTGGCACAGTATTCCACAATTTGGTAGCTCTATACGTAATATTATTGAGTGCCAGAGTAGTACGAACCCTGGGGACCACAAGGAGCGGCCAAGAACGCTGACCGGAGGTTGTGCTTTGCAGGGGCTTAAGATTACAAAATGCATACTTAAACAGATATAAATCTCGCCTCTCCTTAACTGCCAAAAGGTGACATTTAGTTAAAGGGTCATCAGGATTTAGGGAATTATAAACATTTTTAAATTCACAACGTTTTTTTGATCTTCTTAATTTCTTTGCAAAGCTAGGAAGGAAATAACTAATTAACAAAGAGTGAATCTTTCTTTGCACATTGGTTTTCACGCCCCAAATATTGATACCATAGTCAATAATAGAATGTACATAGCATGATATAAATATAAGTAATTTGTCTGTTAAATATCTCTTAATACTAAAAACTCAACATTCTTGATACCAAATTGTAGATCATTTAATACTCTTTCGAAATCAGTAGTTACTTACTCAATTTCTACTGGGGAAATGTGAGAAAAATAAATCATGAAAATTAAAAGTGAAAATTAATCGGGCAGAATTGTGCGTCCAGTTACAATTATTTTCAAAAATAAAATAGGTTAAATTAATTTTCCTGTTGAGGTAAGTCTATGAGTGTAACATTTAGACATTAGCACATTAAATTTAATTACAATTGTAGATGTCACAGTTAACGCTGTATTTGATGTGCACCGCAGGAGATGTACTGCATTGTACAGCATTGTACTTAAGCCAAGTTTTCCAATTCTCCTAGGGAATTCTGCGAGTTTCTTTGAAACCATTTTCCCTTCAACCTTGAATACATGGTATTCCGACCCCGGGTTTTACTGGGTTGGGGTCTTGGGGTTTTACTGCGTTCTGCTTGGTCGGAAATTAGGGGTGTTACTCGGGTTTTCCTGGATTTTACTCAGGTTTTACTAGGTTTTATCTAAAATCCAAATAGATACATCAATAAAATCAATTTGCAGGTACATACCTAACTCGATTTGAGTACTCTGATTATATTCCGTAAAGTTCTCTAATTTTTCCTTATGGTCCAAAAATCATAATTTGCTGCTCAACTTGGAGCTTGAACATATTAATATTTTTCTGGGTATTCCTGGCATTTTGCATTGATGTTTTATGAAAAACATTGAGGGAATTCATTATTTCTTCGTATCCTTAATTAGTATTCTTCATGTCGCAAAATAACTTACGACGCTTACGAGGTTTTGTAAGCGTCGTAAAATTTTCTCATCGAAAATCACGTTACTACGCTTTTGATTTTTACCAAACCTGGACCCCTGTTTTATCTTCGTAAACTATTTTACGATACTATTACGGAGTATGTTAGGATAGATTCAATTTGAATTTTAGCCCCGCCTCCAATGTTAATCAAGTGGGCACGTGCTTTTGGCGTGTGAAAATTCTATCCCATTCAGCCATTTACTCGCCAATAAGGATACGATGAACTAAAGAATACCATCATTAATAAAATACATTAATTTAACAAATTAGTGTTACATTGAAGGTATATTAGTTCACTGCAAACATTGAGTAAACCCAGTAAAACCCCAAAATCGGATAGGTATATATATATATATTTTTTGATGCTTTATTGTCTTATCGGTTCACAGTTATACAACCATGCTCTTCCGCCAGTGACACTTGCAGATAGAGAACGGACTCTATTGCGGCTCCCAAGCTGAACAAGGCTCCGCACCCTCATACTTGGGAGCACCTACCCCGTACTAACACCGAGCCAAGTAGGATTACTAAGTTTCTCTGGGTAGGATTCGAACGTAGGACTGCGTGGTGACAATCCTACCCCCTCACCACTGGACCATTGGGACTTAGTTGGAAATTTATTTGGAAATTTAGACATGGCCTTGATCGTCAGAACGCATATGGTGGCGACTCATGCACTTGAATGGTTTTGGCGAAATAAATACGTGGGAGAAATTCAGACACATATACAAACATTCCTAACTTCTGATTTTAATTTCCAATCAAATAGCACTAGCTTTTTGACCGGAGTAATTTTACTAATTACCCCTGACCATTTTCCTCAAAATGCATACAGCCCCAACTCATGCACCTACCCGGTTCGGGCAAAATCCCCGGGTGAAGTTGATTATGTATGCATATCAAAATCCGAAATTTCTGATTTAAATTTCCGGAAAACCAGCACTAACTTTTCCATCTGACAATGCAACGGTGTGAGATGATTATCGCCGATATCGACCGGACTAATTTTAAATTGTTCAAGCTCAAAAATAAGTGGACCCATATTTTTTCGTTTTCCTGAATGGGCATTAAGCCCCTGGCGGAATTTTCAAAAAAAAATTCAGCCAAAATTCGGATTTTTGAAAACGCTGTAACTTTTCGAATTTTAACCCGATTTCAAAAGTTATACCCAATTTTTGCTCAGAATTACTTCCCTGGAATTATAAAAATTAATTTTTAAAAATTTTAAGAATTTGATACTTTCATGCCATCTCTGAATTTTTTTTAAATGATAAAAACGATAATTTTTTTAAATAAAATTTTTTTATAAAAATGAATTTTTATTTACACCTCCTCATTGTGAGTAATTTTAAAAATTACCTATAACCTTGTTCTTAAAAATTCATGTAGTCCTAGTTCATGCACCTACCCGTTTCGGGCAACATACCCGGGCGAAGTTGACTATATGTATATGCATATATGAAAATCCGAAATTTCTGATTTAAATTCCAGGAAAACCAGCAATAATTTTTTCATCCGACTAATTTTAAAAATTACCTATGACCCTGTTCTTCAAAATCCATATGTGCATGAAAATTGGGGATAATTTTGGCATAATCTAGTTGAGATTAACTTAATTCCAGAGGAAGAAAAAACATCAAACTCAAAACTTTTAGGGCAATATATGCAAATTTATTAGATATCGGAAGAGATTCCAGATTGTGATATTTAAATTTGGACAAACCATAATCCTAATATCTCCAGAAGAATGAAAAAATTGTATGAATTGTTTATATCACTTAGGATCTATTACTCTATTACTATTACTCTATTTCTATTGCTATTAGTTTATATCCTTAATCTTACTAGGTTGCTAGTTAGTTACATCGGGTTGCAAAACTAGCAGCTTAGTTTTTTGCGTCCGTCGGGAACATATTTGGAAATTCAAGCCAGCCATCTGTGTCGTACTTGCAAATTTCAACCGAATCACTGGTGTCCACCGTGTACGTGCCTTGATACCACTGATTCCTGTATTTGTAACTTTATCTACAATTTCTTTCGACATTTCTGATTAGATTATTGATTAATAATTATAGTTATTACTTTTGCCATGACAAATTCTGCCCAAGATTTATTTTCGCTTTAGGACAACTGCATATTGTAGGGAGGAACCAAGAACTCCAGCAATACCGGGCGATGTATTCCTTTCCGTATATGGTAGACAAAAATAGCTCATGGACGAAGGAATGACTGCAAATTGGTGGAAATTGCCCTTCCACTGCAAAATAACTCATTTGGTAACGTACACATACGTCAATTGAGAGTAGTACATAATATACCGAATGGAAAATTTGAGGTTCCTTGTATTGGACCGCATCCAAGCTGGGTAAAGCGATTATGATTTACGAGGAAGTCAACATGTCCAATTTGAGTTTTGTGGCTAGAAAATGACGATGTTAGTATTACATCCATGAAAGTAACGCTGTTCCGCATTATCGGAAAAAATGCGGATCCATCCAGATTGAAGGGTATATCCATCACTTTATTTAATAAAACTGGTGGCTGACAAATTTCAACTTATATTGGAGTTCCTTAGACTTACGTGTGAGTCTGTTGATCTTGGGACAAAATATTTTTTCAAAGTTGTCATTAACTTGGCAAGATTGAAATTGAACATTATAAGCCGTATTTGCCGCCAGGTATCCTCCCAGACTATGCCCCTCTAGGATGGTAGTTGAAGGTTTCGCAATCGACGCACGGAACAGCGTCCCAATAAAATTTGCAACACTTACTGCAACGTAAGGGATGAAGCTACCTGCGGCTCTTAGTCGGGTTAATGGATCAAGCGCCCTGGGAGATACGGAAAAACCACTCATAGTTTTCCCTCCACTTGACATGCTGCTCCAATCTACAATGATGATGTTATGTCCTGGGACCGTTCGACAATGGGCTAAAAGCAATTACACAATTATAGCGGTAACTATACCAAGTGTAACAACCAGGGCCCGCGCTTGCCAAAAATCTAACCGGGGCAAAAAAATTTGGCGCCCATAGCCGCTCGCGCCTTCGGCGCTCGCAGGCTACGCTTTCCTCGTCCTAAAAAGGGCCTAGGACGACATAAACACTTTTCTACGCGGATGCAGCTTCATAGTTTACAAGGTAGTACCACAGCAAGGGTTAGGTTGCAGAGATGTTCAAAACATACGGTTTGAACCAGGCTTCTTGGCTTGGTCGACGAAACCAATCTACTCGCCGGGCAACGAGTTCGATTTTCCGACCAAGCCAAGAAGCCTGGTTTGAACATAAAAAAAGGAATACACTACAGGCTTTGAAGTTCAAAGTCCAT